GCGATCTCAGCGGCCAATAATCGAGCCAGCGAAGATTTAGCCAAAAGGGGAGGGTCGTTCAGATTGGCAGGAAGGTTGCCCCGAGTCTCCTGAACAGACGTTGTGTTCTGCACCACAGAACTTAAAGGAGCTACCTCCATCTCAGAAGTTATCGTCATTGCCGGAGCTCTCGGAGCCAATGATTTACCTGCAGACTCGGGAGGAGAGCAAGAAACAGGAGAGCTGGAGGAACAAGGGGACAAAGCAGCTGCCGAAAACGAGGCAGCTCCTGTAGCCATGGACGAAGCTGCTTTAGAGCCTGAAACAAATTGACTCATGGAGACACCCGCCAAGACATCTGCCGGAATTTGATTGGCTGGGCTGGAATGCAGACGAAGTCGCTCCTCTTGTACTCCTGTATGAGAAGGATTTATAAAAACTAGTCTTGTATATAGATAAATATATACTATAAAGATTCATAATTCAAAGTTGAAATAATAGATAGTAGAAAAAGTGTAAGGTGGTAAGAAAAGTCGAAAATGCTTTATTGTCTGCTTTCAGATCTTCCATGCCTTCTATCTTTTCTGAAATATGGATCATATAAGCAGAGTGAAATATTGATATGAAGGCTAAAATATTGTCACCTCCATTTTGGTCACAGGCTCCTTTTGATATATAAAAGTGGTTTAACCTTGTTTTCGCAACTTGGTTGTGTTGTCAGAGCGACCTAATTGGGCGCATCTTATCCCAGGTCCTCTGCTATAGTAGCTTTGTAGATACAATTAAAAAATGGGTGTTTCGATGATACTCCTGAGAAAACATTGTTGGAAAGACTTTCATTTCGTATAAAAGTGCATAAAGAAAAGATTCGTAGGTCGATTTGACTAGAAGAGGACGGATGAATCCCATTGTACTGCAGCCGTTTGGCTTTTATACGACATTCAGGTTGACACAGTTCACGAGACCTCCTCCTTCGTTTCGGGTGAAAACTGGCTGAGCTTTCGTCCATCATATGATGAACATCTTCAAAGCAGGGTCTCATTCATGTAAAAGTCTCACGTTAACACTAGGGCAAGAAGACTATCCGGCTCTATCTTACCTCTTATATAGACTCAATTAA